TACACACCTTTGCCTGACTGGCGAACACTCTAAGGGAAAGCAACGTGGTCAAAGTGGGGGGGGGGGCTTAATCCCAAAAGAAGGATCCTTTACTCAATGGATGCAATAACAGTACATGATATTAATATTGAATATGATCATCATTAGTTCGATTCGATCTTTGGATGAGAGATGTTTACGAATAAATCATAACATTCTTTAAAAACAATTTTAGTTTTATATTGATTGATCTTTGTAAAGGAAATTAATGATGTGAGATATTCCCGGATTGTGACAATTAAAAATTAAGGCTTTATCTTGACTAGGTAATTTAGTCGCATACGTAATTTGGATTGATTACATTTTAAAGAAGACGAATATAATTTAATCGATCAATCGAAAAAAAAACTTGATCTATTAATCCAAATCATGAATGTGGATCGATGAAGCCACCTGATAAATATTGATAACAGCAAGTATTTGATCTATTACAGTATGAAATACACAAATATAAAAAGTGAAACATAGAAATAAAGAATATAGTTTTTAAGAATTTTATTTTAACAAAGTAAATGAAGAGAACAATAAATTCCTTGGTAAACATATTTCGAAAATAATTGATGCTTTATCGATGTACAACAGAGACAACTATTTATTTCGTGAAATATGCTTCAATTATGTGCTGTAACTAGTGTTTCTGAAGGCATGTGAATCAAACAGCAACAATATGTCCAATGCATCTGTTGTTCTTAATATAGATGTTGCTTTACACTTTATTGAATAAAATAAGACATTGCTTCTTAGATACTTCACAATCAGTTTTTAAGTTGAAAAGTGATTAAATGGAAATTATTCAATTATTTTAGAAAATTTTACTTTTTTTCTTCTCCTTCAATCTCTTTTTGACCAGATCAAGAAAAAAACGAAAAACATGTTTTTCACTTTTGGACTTTGTTTTCATTATGAATAAGGAATGATTTTTAAACGAAGAAATTCGATTTTTCTTTCTCCTTTTTTTCATGCATTATTTAAAAGAATTTCATTTTTGTATGCTTTGCTAGTGTAAACAGGATATGCACAAAAACACATTATTTTCTATTTTCATCAGACATGCTAAATTTCAATAGATTTTACTGACGAGTTTTTATTGACACAGAACAATAAACAGTCAAAAGCACATATTGAATAAATAGAAATGCAATGAAGTATTATTCTTCTAGTAAAGATCGCTTAAAATGAGTTTTAGTTGCGATATTCGATCGATATTTAATTGGTTATTATTGAACCATTCTTAATTTGTTTTATTTTATATGAAAATCTTCTATAAATTTCAATCAATCAAAGAAAAATGTTCATGAAAAAAAGTCATATATTGAAAATTTATTTCTATCTAATTTAATTGATATGTTAATTGAAAAATGTGAAGATGTCGCTTTCATAACTTATTTATTTTTGTTTATTTCATATTAAAGACAGTAAAAGACAACGAATATTGATTGAGCGGTTTTTTCTTTTTAGATGTTGACCAAATTTACTCGTACTCTTCTATCTTATAATGGTACTGCACCATCGTTAATTACATATCGACCATTGTCGATTTCAAATAAATTTTTTCAAAGTACTATATCAAAATCTAAAACTGGTAAATAAATAAATAAATATATCATTTGTTTAATATATATATATACATTTCTATGATTATAATTAAGATGATAAATCATTAGCTGAACAAAAAGAAAAAGTTCTACGAGTTGAAGATTCATTAAACGATTTATCATCAGTAAAATGGCGAACCGAATATAATGGAAAACGTTTATGGCCTCATGATCAATGGCCTGAACGTGATTTAGTTAATTATCCACCATATAAACTTCGTGAAGTACCAAATCCAGTTCGATGGTATTGTATACCTGAATCATGGTTTAAATTTTTTTATGAAAAAACTGGTGTTACTGGACCATATATGTTTTTCTACGGTTTAATTATTTATGGATTTAGTAAAGAATATATTGTTTTATGGTATGACTTTACTGAATATCTTATTTTGGCTGCAGCTGTTATCACTGTTGTTAAAAAGTAAAAATAAATAGATATTCATTTAAATATATAAAACAAAAGTAATTCTATTTTAGACTTGGTCCATCAGTTGGTAATGCTTTTCGAGGTTGGCATGTAGAAGAAGTTGATCGATATAATTCAGTTGTTAATAATTCAAAAGCAATGGCTGGAAAAATGTTACATTCATATGAAGAATCATTAGAACGTGCTGGAAGTATTGGAAAATTAAATGAAGTACGAAAAGATATAATTAATATGGGATTAGAAACATCATATAGAGAAAGAATGAAACAAATGTATGAAGCTGTTAAACGTCGATTAGATTATCAAGTTGCTTTACAAAATGCACGAAAAGATTTTGAAAGAACAAATATGATTAATTGGATAACAAATGAAGTTAAAAATTCAATAACTGATAAACAAGAAAAAGATACTTTACAATCATGTCTTAATCAACTTAGACACATAGCTACACAAACACGCTGAGTCAATATTTCATCTTTTTCGACGACAATTAAAGACATTCCTCCTGTATTAGAATTTTTTTTCCTTGAATTCCCTTTCCGAAATATAGATTAAAAAATTAAACAAACAAGTAGAAACAGACTCATTATATTAATATCGATTTGTTCTGTTTTTTTTTTATTTTTATTTTTCAGACATCTTGTAAAAACCAACAAAAAGAAAAACCAAAATAAGAAAAATGTAATGTCATCAAAAATGATTATTTGTTTTTGTTTTTATATAATTCTATACAACATAACGAATTATTCCAAGTATTAATTGAAATATTATTTAAAGAAATAATCTAGCAAATCGTATTGATTGAATTTATTTGAATATTTTATTTATTCAGATAAAAATAAATCGAAATCGAACTCTTTGACAATTTTTAATCATTCACTAAAATCGAAAATAAAAACAAAATTTTGAAGAAAATTCTTGTTCGTTTGATATTGATAGAACTGTTTCAAAGAGATTTTATCATATTCGAATGTTATTTAGTTATCTATAAATAATTATATAATAATAATATTATTGTTAAGTAGTAAAATTCATTTGAATAATAATTAAATAATTGTCATAAGTAATATTGTGTCATGTTTATATCTATATGAGACTAAATAAATGATAATAGTTTCAAGTCTTGTTTTGATCGAGACTCAATTGAATAATATTATTGTTATTAAAATAGTTTTGATAAATGATTTTAACTAATCTAATTCTAAATTACTAATGAAAAATAAAATCAATATACTTAAATTGAAATAATAAATAATCTATAAAAAGAAAAATGTATATGAAAAAATAGCATAAATTATATTGATATTTGCTTGATTAAATAATATGGAATAAGATAAAAATTTTTAGATATACATATATATAGTATTATTTCGAACTTCAATCTTTGATTCGTTTTTTTTTTTTATATTTTAGATCAACTTATAAGAAGAAAAAAAAAACATGAAAAAATTACACATTCGTCAATTTGGTATTGGAACAATAATGAAATATCGACCATTAATATCATCAGATTCGAAGTAATATAAATATCTTTTTTTTATTAAAATAAACGTAAAATATCAATATATAGATATATATTTACAATTGGCGATTCTTGTGTTTATGTATGGATTGTTAAAACAGGAGAATGTTTAAGATTAATTAATCACAATTCAAATTCAACTGATCAAACAAATATTGTTGCTATTTCAATCAATCCAAATAATCAACTTCAAGTATTTTCAATTTTACAATTATTTACAAGATTTTTTTTAAAAATTTGTATTCTAGTTATGTGTTGCAGAACAAAACGGTATTATCAATGTGTGGGATTATGAAGATGGAATTCTTATTCATGTACGTTTTTTTAATAAGATATTTATTATAAAAAAAAACAATAGTTTTTCATATGACATTAAGTCAACATAAAAATTTTTAAGAATAATTATATTTATTTTCATGCTATTCTGTTAAAAAGATTGCCAAATACTCTTTTTATTGATATAGATAGATATAAGTCTTAGATATTCATAAAATATAATCAATAATTCAAATGTATCTTATCTTATTTAACAGAATGAAGTTTTTTTTCCACTACTGGATTAAATTTAAAGAATAACTAGAAAAATAAAATATTTTCTTTCGAAAGCAAAAAGTGTTATGAAGATAAGTAACCGTCTCAATCATAGAAATATTTCATTAATCTATCTGACATCAAATGTTAATAGACAATCATATAATTCAATATAGATTATCTTTCATTTTTGTTTTCAACGAATTCTATTTTTCTATATAAGTTTTATTTTTGATAAGAATATTTCAAAGCATATCTATTTCATTCAGATCTGAACTATTTCAATATTAGTTCAGCATATGAAATTTTATTATTTTAATTTTGTCTTTTACAATGTTTGATATCGGTATATGAAATAAAATATTGTTGATTTACTTTTTTGTTTGTCTTATTATGAAATATTGAAATTGATCGAGTTATTTTATCTTTGAAAATATAAGACTCTTATTCGACTGATCGGTTAACGTAAACAGGTATTTAAATCTGACTAATAAACATTCGATAATAACTTTGGGCAAAGCCTTTTAACTGCTATTGCTTTTGTTCATCGATCCTTCGTTTCTTATCAGAACAGTTTTTATCAAAAACTTCAACAATTTATTCGTAGTTATTGAGGGTATTCGATACACCATTCGTTAAAATATGCCCTAAGTTAACCGAT